CGAGTCCTCACATCCTGCTTTAGCACCAGCTGCAACAATCGGACCCTCAAAGAAGACCTTGAAAACTAAGCAGGAAGGCCTCTGCTCGCGCAACCATCCAGCCAGGAAGGTGGCTCCTTGGCTGTAAGTTGAGAGTCTGACGGCATTTGCAATATTAGGGGCCTGTGCTCTCCGTCAAGACTGGGCAGCTAGCGGACAGTGCAAGGAACGCCCGGTTGCGGAGCCCGAGATAAACTTGGAAAGCAGGTAGGTTTTGCAACAAGCTACTGTCAGAACTAATTTGTACCGACGGACTAAGCCTCACCATGGAACTCCTCTGAGAATGCGTGTTTTCCATGCAGGACAGTTCATCTTGGGCCAACTAGAGGCCACCCAGAGCCAAAATCTCCATCAATGTACAGAGTGCTCACAGATCTGTAAAGGTGCCAGGACTAAAAAGGTTAAAGCCCCAAGCAAAGTGCCAAGGCAACTTCCAGGAGCTTTGGTAATCCTTATTCTCCTTCAACTTCCAAATTGCTGGGCCTGTTTGCTTCCCGTAGAAGCTAGCAACAATGTGTACTTGTTCTTTGCCAGGCTGCAGGATCTGCAGCAAAACCTGCCAGAGGGCGCATGAATTCCGTCAACAAACCTCTTAGGTATTTGCAAGAAGACAATCCTGCAAACAAGATCCCTAGGGTTTGCACCCATACCGGGAGGGTACGATTCTCGTAGTGCTTTCCGTGGAGATGGTAGTTCATTACCAGCTTCTGCTCAAACAGAAAGGGTAATGCTGAAAGGAATCTGGCAACTCCTCTTGGCCTGTTCTAGAGTCATCCTTTGTGCCGCCAGTTCGTGGGGCCGGTGAGAGGCCCCACAACCAACCAGCAACCCCCGAATCCTGAACCCCCACCCTCAACCGATTGAAAACAAACTCAAGCCGTAAGCTCGCCAGTCCCCGACTCTAAGAGCTCACGGCTCGACGCCTCATCGTTCAAGTCCGACAGGAAGGGCCCGCAAGCCTGACCTTCGTCACGTCTGAAGAATTTGAAGTAAAAAGTCCTTTCGCCAATCTGTCACAATGCTGCCAAACCTAAGGCCCGAGGGCTACCCTGTGACTTCCCCAGGGCCAGCCTTACAATTAAAGATTAAGGAAGCTACGGCGCCTTCCTTCGAGCTCATCCCAGGGTTGCCCTCTGTAATATCTTCTTTTGGCCCATATCAGGTCCGCAAAGACCCATATATAGGCTCGCCAACAAACCTGTAAGGATTCCTAGAGGGCCCCCCGAAGCTCCACACACTTCCTCGAACCGTTTCAATCCTAGGCAAAGGAATCAATGAATAAATCGCCTCAGACTGATGCAAAGCTTGCCCTAGGGCCGGGCGGTTGGCAATTTACATACTTTTGTATTACCCGAGCTGTAGTGTTTTGGTACGGTTGATCCCCAAAAATAATGATGCCAGTGCCAGGTTTAATTTGACCTCACCTGTGAAACCACAGAAACTGTTACTGCGAGCTCTCCGTCCATGATTTGTATGAAGCCTGGCCAGTTCACCTTTTCGATCCAGCCCCGAGCCCTCGAGTGTCCATTTTCCCTCAAGAATTCATTATGACAACATACGGCAAACCATTGCTCCCTGGTCGACTCCTTACAGGCTGGCTCTCAAGCCCTGGCCCCGACCCTGCGCACGAGAAATCCTGGAACCATAGACCCCACTGGGCGGACCCTCCCTGCTCCCAGCTTACTTCGCAGGTTGCGCGCCCAGTGAAGGCTTCTGGTCAGGCCTGCGGCTGGCATTGGAAGAGAATCTTCTGTGCGGCGCCGTGAAGGCATCTCTTCTTCAGCTCCTGTGGGTTCTGGTCTGTGACTAGCGATCAGGGTGAAGGCTCCGGGTTGCGAGACGGGGTTGAACAAGTCGGTGTAGGGACTGCAGGCGCGGATAGGGTCGAGGGATCAGCAATGACAGCTCAGGATTCAAGGTGGGCGACCATGATCAAAGTGGCCGAGTCTTGCGGCCGTGTCTCATCACATACAATATGCAAGCTCAAAACTGAACTCCAAAGTGCAAACCCCAATGATGCAAGGCCCGACCCAAAATGCAAACGCCCACTCTCTGAAGGAGGGCAGACCATTTGTTGCAGCACAAGTTTCAGACAGCAATGATCTACTTTTCCACCTCGGCATCTGTGAGCACACTGCATCATGTAGGGATGCGGAGCCCTTACATAGCTGGCTTGCGACCCGGATGCGCCCACTTGCTGATGTCTTGTGAGCCAACACTGGAGATACTCCCAATCCAAGAACAGGCAACTCTCAACCAATCCTCATCCTCACCGGGCACCCAGACCCCCTCAACCTTAGGCCGCATATTAACAATCCTTTTGCATAGGGTCCCTGGGCTTGAACTTTCGCCTCCTAGCCATCCGAAACCCCGAGTTCTCATGCATCTCAGGCCTGAGATCAGGGGCTCAAGAGATACCTGCCTCAGATGGTGGGAGACGGGTATGCGCGGGTGTTTAGGTTTCAGTCCTTGGGCTCTGGGTTAGGGCTTCAACTTGCACTTTGCGGGCTTGCCTGAACTAGCCCAACTCAAGTTTTGTTGGCATGCAAGCCATTACCTGAACAATCTTGCCACTCCTGGAGGCCCCCATAAAGACTTCCTTCTGCACCTGCAGCTTAGTTCGAGAACAGCAGACTAGCTTTCCTCTTGGGGAACAAAGCGGATTTTCATGTAAGACTGCAAAAACTCTGCAGCTTCAGATCAGAGAGACTGCTATGGAAGTAGAACCACTGGCACTATCGCTCTGGGGGCTTAGACAGCAAATGCCCAAAGCCGGCAGCTCTAGTTGGCGGTCTCTTCACTACTTTGTAGTTGTAGTCACTACCCGTCACATGCACCGTTCTCCATGGGCCGCCTAGCAGTTTTCAGAAATGCATAAAAAGTACGCCTTCAGAAGCGAAATCCGCCCTATCCAAACAAACCAAAATCTGAAAACTAGGCTCACTGTAAGAGGCCAGCCGGAAGACATTACCAGCTCAACCTGCAGCTGCTACTCTGCTCAATAACCTATGAGCCCAACACTCCTCACGATCCAGTTGAGGTACTCTCCGGCGAGGCGTCGGCTGCATGAAAACCGCAGCAGGCGCCTGCTTGAAAGTTGGGATTGGGTTAAAATATGATGGTTACCGGAGCGATTTCTAGGGGTCTTCCACTAGCCATCCAACTTTTCTTGGGGAGTGTTTGTTGGGGTCACCCCCACTCGATGATAACTAATTATGGAAGCCTGTGGGGATTGCAGGCTTTGGGAAATTCATATGGTCGTCTCTTGATTCCACCATCACAGCCGTAGTCTTGGAGTTCGTACATGACAAAGCCTCTGGATGGCTTTTGTTTAGCTATTGAGTCAATCCCGGAAGGCCCTGTGGTAGCACTTGGGCCTCCAAAACCCTGGAGTCAAACATCTTATGTAATGCATAGAGTTGGCAAAGAAGATGGACGCCATCACTCCACACTCTTTGTGCGCTGCAGTTGCCGTGAAGAACACCACCCAAGAGAACCGAATGGACAAGGCTTTCAGTCCAAAGGTCTGAATCCCAGACCTCTTAAGAGTTTGATTACTTAGGCAGCCGGCGCCCATTTAGCTCATGACTGCCAAGCTCCAGGCCCCGAACTGAGACTTCAATCTCAAAGTCTGTAGAGTTCCAAATGCAGCCCCATAAGCCCTTTGAATCTTCAAGAGGGGTTCTCACGGCTGGACTGTGCAAGCTGAGTGTCTGGAAGAAGTCGACGATAGACGTGATGCACCTCGTCCAAGTGCTCTTAGGACTCTGGAGTTTTGAGCGCGTAGCACATGCAAAACTTAAAATGTTTACCAAACCCAGATCACGAACCTAAGCTCTGAAGAGTGCGTGGTAATTCCACCCTCTGTGGGATTTGGACTGGGGACCTGGCTTAGCATCACTCGTGTTAAGGCTAGTCCCTCTACGCTGAGCTTCCCAGCAGTGAGACAAATTTTACCACAGTCCACAGAAAGCTGGGGCGACATTAACAGCAGTCTCGTGCCGGAAGCCTAGGTCGCAGGGAACCCTTCAGTGAGCTCAAGCACAGTGAAGGCGTGTTATCGACAAGAGTTCAGCGTATCTGATGCTCAAAGTTTTTAAATCATGGTCAGAATGTCCGAAGACTACCGACAACATCCAGCAACATTATTGTTGCAGTCCTGATACATGCCGCAACCTTCACCATCTGAGAGGGGGAGCCTGATCTCAAAAGCCAATCTGAAAGCCGCCGAGCGGCATGCAGAGCTCAAGCGGCTAGGCTCGGAATCTCGAGCCGGGGAAGAAGCTGCGGACGTAGGCAGACGCCAGGGATCGCCACGTAGACGCGTAGAATCAGGACGGGGCAGTGGCATCTATCATCTATCAATCTCCGGGTCCTTTAATGACAATTCGGAAAGGAATATTCCTGACAGTGGGGAACCCGAAAAACCTCCTGACCGCACTTGTGCTTGAGAAGGATGTGCAGAAAATTCCGAAGGAAGAGCTTTGACAGCTCAACGATAACTTGTTTGGGCCCAGCCTGTTGAAATCTGAAGGAGATAAAATTTGAGAACTTGCTTGTCCAGCGCTTTCGCTGTACGCAGGCCTACGGCCTGGTGTAGGTGCCTGGAAGGCTTCTTGGTCCTATGCTGGTTATGCGCGGCCTTGCTTTTGCAGTGCGGGATTCAGGCTGAAGAGTCTAGGTTTTCAGGAACATGAGTCTAGGAGAGAGTTCTTGTATAAAGTTAGTTGATGATGTTCTTTCTTGCTATGAGGCGACACGTCTTTGCTCCAATGAATGGAACATCTGCCTCGCCTGTGCATGCTGCTAGATGCTGGCATAGATAGATTGTGCTTTCATGTACGCCATCGGCACAGCTGCGTTTTAACTGCATTTCGTAGACTTTACTAGGATGACAAAGACTACTGTGGTGAAGGGGATCCCATGTCTTCAAGACCCAGCCCCACGTCCATGGCGCTGACTGCTATGGCCGTTATGTCGTCCACAGTGTCGTTGTAAGAGCCTTCGTGGCCAGAAAGCAGCCAAGCGGAAAGCTTCAGAAGGCAAAGTTTGCAGTAATAAATAAACAAAAACCATGCAGCCCAAACCATGCGAATCAATGAAGGTTCGGAGAAAATCACGCTTGAGCACATTCTACAGCCTCTGGTGTAGGGACTTGCAGGAGGTGATTTGGGAATCAAGTTCAGCACCAATGCAGGAGCAGGAAGCACAACCAAACATCCTGCGTTCTAGCATGCCGGAATCTAGCAGCAGCCTTACAAAATCGAGATCCAACATGGTTGCGCGGCAGTGATCCAACACCGTCCGCTTAGTGGCAAACATCCTGCAAGGAGCCGTGATTTGCACTGAAGGTGGCCGTGCAAATTTACAGGAACTGGTTGGCTGCTGTCAGACAGACCGAGACCGACTTCATTGAGTAATTGCTCATGACGTCATCGAAGCACATGCCAAGCCTGTCATCCCTATGGCATCATGGAGGGTCGCGCTAAACAAACGATAACATATAAATAAATCAATAAAAGAGTAGCCAACTACATACACACACACATATATATATACACTTATATATAGATATGCATGTGCCCATGTGCATAGCGTGTGCCGAAAACAAGCCTGGGGAGATAAATATCCTCTACTTGGTGGTACAACTTGCAGCACATGCCCTTTCACTACACTATCCGGCAGCCGCCGCATCAGGAATGCTGGCGCAAACAGCCATGTCACGGCACGTTTCAACTTTTTGTCTGCCCACACAAGGCTGGCCTAACAACCGCGGGCTCTGATGTATAACTCGTTCACCCACAAGCCTTCATCCCTCGGATTGTTCACTCCTGAACGGCCAACTTGGGAATGTCTACTCATCGCAACGCCCTGAACTATGACGGTGTTTCGAGATCATCGACCCAGCAGCACCTCAGCAAGTGCCCTTTCAGCCCTAAACCCCAAACCAGACATCCTTAAACTTAACATGCCCTGATCTGCTGACGTGGTAACACTCCGTGGTTCTGGGGCCAATACTGCGAGCCCAACGCCTTCGCGCTATTGCGCACACCTCCTGCGCACGCAGTCTCGCAAATACTCTCCACATTATCCTCGACAGGGATCTCATTAACATGCGATAGTCCCTCATAAATTCCGCGGCTATTCTGCGGGCTACTTTTGCAAGTCGGATGGCTTAGAGTTGTGAGCTTGAGCACCCGACTCTTTCTTATTGCTTACATCAACACCCGCACGCCATTTCAGGTTGTAGGGATAGGGTTACGAACCCCTACAAGCCTTCTAAGGGGTTGTTGGGTCGTGGTCAAGCAAATATCCCACATGCAGGCTTCCAAACTGCTGGTTACTTGCATAAGGACCCCCGACAACGGGCTCTTCCTACAGCAATGTGTTGTCCTTCACGGGTGGAAACGTATTCTCTAATCATTCTTTTCAATCTTCTAGGATCCCCAGCTGAAAGGACCACTGTTAAAGCAGGACACCCTTGTATAGATACGCGCAGGACGCCCCAGAGCTGGCAGTAATAAAGGAGTAGATCTTGTTGGGTCCATTCTTGTTGCGCTCCCGGTGTCTTGTCAACTACCACTCAGGACGCGCACAAGGGAGGCATCCTCGAGGACCTCATCGGAGACTCCTCCGCTACCTCAACGGAAACCGCTGACAGACTTTGGAGTTTCAGGCAGTTTGGCAACGTTTCTGGATGCCCTTGGTGGAAGGAAGTCCCTTGTCGTTGGCCTACCTCTTGTACCTAGCATTTCTTGAGCTACAAAGGGTAAAGCTTCTCACTCGCAATGCCTCTGCCGGCATAAAAATGATCCAGGTGCCGTGCCTGACCCGGTAACTTTCAAACACAGCCCGGGAAGCAGATCGCCCTTTCTCCGTGGGAAGGCTTCGTTACCCTCTTTTAATGGCGCCCTGTGCCCTGGTTTTGAGAAAATTTGGGCCTTACTTAGAAGTAGTGCAAAGTATGAGGCTCCTTTCTCTTCAGGCCGTGCTGAGGCCGATGTGGTTGACCGGAACTGGAGCTACAGCGGCCTCCAGGCAGCAAAGCCCTCACCATCTTTTCGCCAGAAGCACTGGACCTATCCTAAGAGTCCGCCGGTAGCACCGCAAGGCGCTAATTCTTCTCTAGCAACCTGTGAGGCACGACAATGAGGGACAAAACCACGTCCTTGTTGCACATTTCACTTTGTATCTGAGGCTTCTCTGCTTGCCCTGAGGCCTGCTAAGCGCTCTACAATTTAGATCATCCGGGTGCCCTGCATAGTCGAGTCGCAACCTCCTTCGTGCTGCAGAACTCGAAAAGTCCTGCTGCGAAACATGCCCGCAAGGTGTTCTTGTAAGGTTTGGGGTTTCGAGCTTCTCGCATGTACTTTTACGCTAAATTTTCCACAGTGCGAAGCGTCGCAAACGATTGTCCAAATGGGTGCAGCCTTATGTCGTAAAAAGCCAAGTATACAGTAGACCACAACCCCCGAACATCTCAGCACAAATCCCCCACCCCCTGCCAAACTGCACAAACCATCCGTCTGGTAGCAAAGGCCAAGGGCTGTAAACTGTCAAGAAGATTTAACTTCTGTCCCCCGATCTATAGAATTTGCGCTGGGGAACGTAGCATTCCACTTTCCGGACTAGAATCCTTGCACCCTAAACCTTCAGCGGCTCCGTCAGTGCCGAGGATGAGCATCTCGTCCGAGCCCCGAGCGATCCGCACCGAAGCTACCTGTGGTTGCATGCAAGATCCCCTGACCCTCCTCAGAGTTTCCGGAAAGCCCCGCCCAAAACCACACAAATATGAAAAACATGCTTTGTGAAGGCCTTTTGGAAGCGGCACAGGATCTCTGAGCAGCAGCCCAAGCAAAACGTTTTTTGAAGGATTAGGCTCTTCAAAAAACTTGCGCGCCCCGTCCCCTCCTGCCCATCCACCTATCGGCTTTGGAAGAGGGAAGGATGGAGACAATAGAAGCATGGTTCATAGGAAGATTTCAGGAGGAGCGGTAACTAGAGAACCAGCAGCCCGCCCACTTGTGGTGTGGTGGGGGCATAACATGGAGGAAGGGGTGGTACCGCATTCCTGCCCAAGTACCCCCTGTAGCGCCACCCCAACTGTGTCCTCCCTGCCTCTGGCTCGGAGCTCACGCCGCAAGCGGCAGCCACAGAGGCGCCCAGGGAGCGGCTGAGCGCCATGGCCGGCCACTGACAGCCTTTCTCTGTGCAGTTTTTAGGTTGCAGAGGGTGCCAGGGCTTATGGGTTTGTGGTAAAGGGTTTTGCGGGCCAAGGTTTGTTCCGGATCGCTCCTGGTCTGAAACAGCACCCAGAACTCATCGAGACAGGTTTCTGGATGTAAGGCTTGGGAGTAGAAGATGAGGGCCATGTTTGCATTTCTGCAGAACTGTCAGGATTCTTCAAAATAGACTCGCTGGCCATCGCCAGCCTCCTGACAACACAGGGTGCCCGAAGGCTTATACTCGGAATGACAAAGAACCAACCTGCTCCATTCCCCCATGGAGAAGGACCCCAGATGTGGCAGGCATGCCCCAGAAACCAGGATCGCGCTCAGGGTTTCGTGCCAGGCCTGGCGCGAAAATCCGCGACGTCCCGGCGCCGGGACGCAGGCGGCGCACCTCTCCGCCTGAGAAGTTTTCAGCAATGGTGGGATTTTCTTCAAAATCTTGAGAGCTCTCTTTTACAACCTGAACCCCGTGCCTTCTGCTGCGATGCGCTCTGCCTCAGCGAGGTCGTCAGGCCTGGCAAGACTGCGGTCACTGGGTTTCAATCATTTAGGCCTTACTGTGCAAAGCCTACGGCTGAGGGATTAGCGCTGCGACTCAGGGACTTGATCGGAATGACTACGGCTTGGCGCGACCACAATTTTGTCGGGGTGTTTACAGGCACGAGGAATCGGTAAGCTCTTCTAGGGTATCTGTAACGCTTCACCATACGAGGTTTGCATGGCAGTTTCAACCTATAATCTCAAATCCCGAAATCTTGCGTGGTTAACTCTTGCAAACGAGATGCTTACAGGCTAAACCTCTTCAACATGAAGGGGTCGGAGTTGCAGGCAGACCACAGCTGATGGGTCTGCCCTCTGTTTGCCAAGATCCTCATGGGGGCAACGCATTAGGGGGTCCCAGACTTTTCAGAAGCCCCATTTTCTCGGCCCGTATCAAACTCTAAAGCCCTGTGTAAGAAGTTAGCAAGGCCCGGGCCGATGGTCTCGCGTCAGGCGATTCACCTGAATGCTTCAGAGTTCCAGCTACTAGGGTCGGCCAGACCCTCTGAGGGATACAGCTCACATGCTGGGTTTTGACTGGCGGGACGATCGTGCTCGGATCCTTAGGTGGTCTGAGTAATTATGTCTGTGAAGACGGTCTGATGCTGACGGCTGAGGCTCTTCCTTCCGGCATTGCTTGCCCAGCAGCATGCCGGAAGTTATCATTTTTGCTCTCAAAAGTTGACGTAAGGTCTGCCAGCAGCAGGGATACTCGTCTCAAAGCTTCTGGACATTAGCGAGCTGTGAGATTTAGACGCTTCAGGTGCATCCACCGGTGCTGAAGAACATCTTGAAAAGAAGTTAAGCCCATGAAGCCCTGACACGGACCACACGGAGTTTGATGCAATCGTAGTCCCCAAGATGCTGTGTGGAAATCATCTGCAGCACCACTACGAGAAGACTACGGGCAACCCCAAAACCACACTTTCAATTCTTAAGCAAGACTGCCTACATTCCTATCCCCTAAGCTCTCAGCAACTCTCATCCATCCTGAACCTAATACACCTTCACATGTAGAAAGCCAACACTCCACTTTCTTGAGGAGGACTACCAGCCCGGCTGTCTAAGCAACAAGCGGAGATCTCGGAGTGATCCTCACCAGTCCGCGACACGAGGACCTCAACTCTAAGCGGCTCTTTTTGAAGTAGAGCTTGTCATGTGTGTCTTTCTCTGCACTGGTTTCCCACATGGATGAGAGGGGTAGTTGGGGATTCGCTAAGATAATTCTACGGGTCCTCCAGGTCCAGTCTCAACATTGCGAATCATCCTTCTTGAAAGGGATGTGTGCTCCGAAAACGCACTTCAATCTTGATCGCGCGTTCCAACCCCGAGAAAAGCCATTATATTATATCCCGCAAAACCTGAATTGCACCACGCATCCCACAATTTGTGAGCTCAGAAGATGCAAGCCCCTGAAACCTGAACACTAAACTCCAAATCCTGCATACCGTGTGAACCCTAGAGCTGAAACACCATGTACTATGGTTCTTGCGGTTTTCTTTTCCATCACTCAGTCCGTAATTCTGCATTTACCAGCACAAGCCGGGAGGCCGCCCGGGAGTCGCCGACATTGGCCACGTAGAGCCAGCTCTCGCCCTGCTTGAGAGTCTTGTGGGGAATCGAGAAAACTGAAACTACTCTGTCGTATTGGGTCTAGGGCTTAGGGGATAAAGGATTTGTGGATGGCATACATGGATTTACTAGCTTAGGGACTTGCAAGGGCTTATCAGATGATGGTTTCTTGTTTGAGGTTTCGGGCCTTAGCGTTGGGAGTTTTGGCATTGTTCGCTTCGTTTGATGGGTCCTTTGCAGGGTTTGGAGATTAAGGTTTCAGATTCGGGATTGGAGTTTTTATAGGCCTCATTCAAAGCATCAGCGGTAGCTCTCATGTTTGCGAGTGGCCTTGTATTCGGGATCTACGGTTTGGAGTTTGGATTGTTTTCTATGCCTTTGTAATGCGCAAGCCTGGATTCTAATTTTGGATTGCGGCAATATTTCGGATTTTCATGCAACTTCCGGTTCTGGCGTGAGGCTTTAAAGCTCAGAGCTTGGAAGCTTGGAAGGGAAGTCACGAGCTGGAGATGCCTGTGGTGCCCCTTTAACAACTGAGCTTTGCAGCCAACTGCAAACATCGGATGGGTGACAATGGGAAAGGAGAGCTTTCGGTTCAAAGTGATCTACGTGACACCTTGACTCCGCAAGTGTCAGGTTGACCGACAGTATCTTTGTGAACGTTAGCACAAGTCCTCAGCCCGAAGCTTTTATGGAACCTGGCTCTCTGTGTTCCAACCCATCAAAAGAAGCAGACCGTTACTTCTGCAACAGAGTGCAACCTCCTGATTCTTCATGAGACGCAATGATTGACCATGACCGATGGTCCTGCGCTCTGAACACGAAGATCTGAAGCTCAAACTGGCGTGGACAGCCAACCAAGAGCTTTATTGTGCGCACTCAGCCTGTAGCTCGTTGTCATCGTCCGCTTCTGGGAAATGAAGCACCTGGGGCTTAAGCTGCCACAGAAGCTGAAGCGTTGTTGAGACACTAATTGTAGAAACATGTTCAGATCAACAAAGGCGTGCATGGGCGGCCATCGTGAAGGCAGCAAAGGGTTTGCGAATAATCTTTTGGCTTTATGCGTACGGCGTCTGAATGACTCTGTCGGGCTTGATGTGGAACCGGTACTTCAGGGATGTCTGCAACATCTGGGGTGATCGCGCGAAGGACTGGGACCGCTCCTGCAATGCAATAACAGCCCTAGCGGGCCTTGTTGGATCTTCAGAATTTAAGGCTTTAGGACTATCGAGGGTGTTGTCTTCAGCAAGCCCACTCCGGTGTCCAATCATTCAGTGGTCAATACTCTGAAGCCTGGCCAGCAATCCAAAAATACTTGGACATGCAAGTCCTCATGCCTTCATCCTCACTGTTTGCAAGCCACGGTGCCCCACTGGAAAACCCAGGACAGTTGCTGGAAAAAGGCTGACCCCGAAGTGGTCACGCGACGTCTCCCGTTCTTGTATTGTTTTGAGGTGCCCTGCAGAGCGCAGCACGAACGACTCCTAGCCTCGCGTGTGGTACCAAGAATGCCCTAATTCCCAACCACGAAGACCATGCCATTAGGGGCTCGGTAGGGGGTGCTTATGGATGAACATTTCCCACTCCACCATGCCTGACTCCTTCAACCTGTACGGGACCTGCGTCCTTATCATGCATATTTTGGCTCCTTGAGCAGCACAGCAACACTGTCATCTCAAATCTTTACGACTAAGAACTTGCAGAACAAATCCTACCACCTGAAACGTGCAAATCCTTACCCCAATCCCCAGGGCCCTAGGCCGAAATCATCTGACCCATCTTCATCCTGAAGCTCACTTCTTGTTACAAAAGCCTTCGAGCATCAAAGTCTAAATTCTAAAGCGAGGGCACTAGGGCCACAGTGGCTGTTGTCCCCGACGTCTCTGTGTCGAAGTCCTGCTGCCTTGGGGGTGAAAAGGGTAGGGACGTGCAGAGGCTAGATGTACTTTGCGATTCGCGCGCGTCAGTAGCAAAGATAACATCATGTCGCCGTCTTGACTGGAGTTTGTTGTTGCGCTGCTGTCATCTCCAACCCCCATGCGCCGTTGAAGCCGTGAATTTGAAA